TCATTGTCTTGTTCTAGCTTGGGCCTGTTGCATGGGCTGATCCTTTTATTCATTTATTTCTGAAAAACAGTTTAGTATAAATATATGGAAAAAATATGTTGTGAATGATTTTTTTTATGTTTAAAGACCCATTGGGATAACATGCGCAATAAATTTATTAAAACTTATATGAGAAAAAAATGGCAAAATTTTCCAAAACATGGGAATAATTAATTATTTTGTGAATATTGTTGCAAAGATGGTTCGAAGACTCAGCTTTGAATTTTAACCCTTTAAAATACAATGTTTTAGAAAATGACTTATTCGTACAACTTCTTGCTTATGATTTTCAAAAAATTGCATTAATTAACTTTTTTTGATAAGAAAAATACACTCTTATTCAATTATAGATAAAATAATATTTTATTTTAAAAAGCAACACTTAAAGAGATATTAAAAGAGACTAACGAGCATTGATCCGTAATAAATTTATTAACTTATAGAATATAGAAAAACAATCTAAAAACTAAAAAGATTAGCTACTCGTGTTCATATGCTGCGATATCCTTGTTTAATCAGGAGCCTTCACTGATTCTTTTCCCCCTTTGCATGCAGGAATTGATCATTCTAAATCATCTTACAGGAGGTGTCTAAGATTTTTTTTTTTCCCTGTTTAGGTAAAAAATAAAGTGTTTCTATTGAAGACAAAATTTCTTGAAATAGACGTGTGAATATATAAATTCTGTAGTACGTGTTTTTGGCTATATTCTCTAAGTGTATTATTATGTATTCTTTCATGTACCTTTTATTGATAATACAGAACTGTTTGGCGTTTCATAACATTGTTTACCCATAAACAGTAAATTAAGATAGTAAGTATTTTCATTTTATGGGATGGAGTGCCACAGCAGTTTTCAAGAGTGAATGCATCGAAGAATTGATTTTAGTGTCATGAGTACAAATATAAGGTAATTTTAATAGAGAGAGAAAGCTCCTCATATTTATAAATCTCATTTCATTTGTCAGGCTCCTGAATACAACACTCTAGCCAACACCAATTTTTTGTCCACTTGGTTTGAATGATGAAACACTAGCCAACACCAATTTTTTGTCCACTTGGTTTGAATTATGAAACACCAAAACCTTGCAAATTCCATTGTTGCAAATTCTTATAGCATGGATTCTTTTAACTTCAATAAAGATAAACCATCCAGCTCACTAAGTAACCTCTTGGAAGCTTATTATTCTTCTCAGCCTGTGATGATGTGCTTCAATAATTTCTTGAGGTGAGGACATTGAATAGGTCATAAAGATGAGTGTGAATACCGTATTTTATTCCGGTATTTTTTTAAAAATTTAATAATAAATAATCAAAAAATATAAAAAATATAAAAATGAAATTTAATCCTTTTTAGGATTATATTTTCAAAAAAAATCTTACTTAAATTTTAAAAAAAAATCTCTCTTAAATTATCCCAACCATTCAAATATTGAAAATTAAGTTTTAAAAGTTAACTCTTTTAAATTAACTTTAAAAATTAGGTTAACAAAAAAATATATAAAAAATAAAATAAAATAAAATAAAATAATTATAAAAATAAAGGGGCAGGTGATATGATCACCCACTCGTAAATGCTTTTCAGTTTTCACGGCAAGATCAGTGGAGACACTACAGAATAAAAAAAAAAGGAAGCACACACACAGAGTCAGAAATAGCAAGACCAGAGATGTGCACGGCAAAAGAGAAAAGTGAAAGAACACGTACACACGCTTTCGGCCAGCAGAAGAAAAGAGACAGAACCGAGACGCATGCATACATGCAGCAGATGAAAACACGTGAAAAGCTTCACTTTGCAGAGAAGAAATGCACGTTACAGACTACAGAAAAAGAAAAAAAACAGAGCAGAAGAAGCGAGTCCAAGAGAGCATAAAAGAGAACGAAAAACAGACAAGTAAGGAGGAAAAAGCTGGAAGAAAGGAGAGAACACAGACCGCATGCACGTAGAAAAAAAATAGACAATCGAGAACAAAAACTGGAGGAGAGAGAGACAGGAAAACAGAGTAGAAAACAGAGACAGAGGAGGAAGAGAGAGGAGGAGACCGAGGACGAAAAAAAAGCTGGAAGAAAGGAGAGAACACAGACCGCATGCACGCAGAAAAAAAAAAGACAATAGAGAACGAAAACTGGAGGAGAGAGAGACAGGAAAACGGAGTAGAAAATAGAGACAGAGGAGGAAGAGAGAGGAGGAGACCGAGAACGGAAAACAGAGCATGGGAAGAGAGGAGAACAAGAGCATGGAAAAGAGAAGGAAGAGAAACTGAAAAAAAGGGAGAGAGCCAGAGACGCAGAAGGAGAGAAGAGGAAGACCGAGGAAGAGAAGAAAAATACAGAGAAGAAAGGGAGAAAAACCAACGAGAAAACTGAAAAAAGAGAACAGAGCATAAAAGAGAGAACAGAGCCAGAGACGAGGGGGCGAAAAAACTGGAAGGAGAACAGAGACAGAGGAGAAAGAGGAATGCACCGTATATAGTTTTACGGGATGATGGCGGTGAGCTCAGCCTGCAAAGATATGAGCAAGTTGGGAATGGATAACGGTAAGTACGTGCGGTACACGCCGGAGCAGGTGGAGGCTCTGGAGAGGCTGTATTATGAGTGCCCCACACCCAGTTCCATCCTCGCCGTCATGCTCCTGCTCATCTGGCTGCTGCATTTTGACGAGGGGATGGAGTATGATTCTCTCAACAGATACTGAGTCTTTAACCTCCACCTTCTACTGATGTTCATGGGTTATATCTTCATGTTTGGTCAAGCAATGATGGCACACCATATAATACCGAGCGAGAGGTCAACCCAGAAGTTGATGCACCGTTGCTTCACTTGATTGCTTTGGTGCTGGGAATCATTGGTTTCTGCAATTGCATTCAAAGAGCGTTGATTTTTAGCCTGTACTCTGAAGGTTGCAGTCTGAATTGACGTCACATGAGTGCTGAATGTTTTACAAGCAACAAAAAATCAAAAACACATTCAATACTTGAGGTTGAGGCGATGAAATTGTTATCTTGAGAGGAAGAAGAATGCAAACCTAGAATCACAAGTTACTTAAGTAATATTTAAATCATATCATCTCCCTTAATCTGGATTCATTGATGAACATATATGTATATTATAGATATTATGAGTGTGACTGAATGTATGTTTAGGCATAAAAAAATTAAAATTTAAATATTTTTTATGTAGAATTTAAACCATATTTGAGAGGTGTTTAACAAAATAAAAAAAGTGAGAGCTTGTGAGAATGTTGTTGATAATTTATAGTTTGAAGCTGCATCTTTCATGGCTACGATATTGCTAAAAGTTTATGTCAAATTTGAATTTTTTTTAGAATATATCCTCTAGTCAAAAGAATAGTGAATTGTTAAAATATTTTATTTCTCTATTCTTTCCTCAGTCTTTATTGCATAAATTGTTTAGTTACCCACAATATTATACACTAACTGTAGATACAAATATTTTGACTATCTATTTGTCATGTGAGATTTTAAGAATCTTTATAGACACTTAGAATGATTTCATACCGTGTAAATTAATAAGATTTCGCAAGTATGAGAATCAATCTTATAATAAATATTTAAGTCTCATGCGAGATTTTAAGAATCTTCGTAGATAATTAAATTAATTGCTTTATCATGTAGGATAATAAATCCTCACAATATCGTGATTCACAATTTGTATATATTACATAAACAAATTTTTATAAATAAAATAATAAACATTTTTTATAATATTAATTAATTAAGTTAATAATTATATTGTCTAATTAGATCTTGTAGTCATGTAAGATTTTTGAAACTCCGTAGATCTTTAACATAATCGTACTACTGTGTGAGTCAATAAGGTTTCGTAGGTATAATGATTAAGATTTTTATACGCGTTGTATAATTATGCATTAAAATATATTCAAAGTGAATTATTTAATCCTTTTATCGTGTGAGACTTTGAATCTCTGTAGATATTTAGGATAATCTCGTATCGTGTAAATCAATAAGATTTCGCAGATATGAGAGCAAAACTTATATATTAAAATTAACTCTCTTTTTATAATCCAAATTAATAATTTATTTAAGTTCCATATGAGATTTCAAGAATCTTCGTAGGAATTTAAATTAATCACATTATCGTGTAGGATAATAAGTCCTCGCAGATATAGTGATTTTCAATTTTTATAATAAATAAGTGATTTTTGTAAATAATCATATAATATATAATTTAAGAAACTTAATTAACCAAATTAATGTATTTAAATTGTAACCATATTTATCGATTATATCTTTTAGTCATGTGAGATTTTTGAATCTTCATAATCTTCTAAGATCATCGTATTATTGTATGAGTCAATAAGACTCTGCAGATATAACGATTTAGTTTTTAAAATATATATACACATATATATTATATAATTAATTAAATCAATTAATTAAATTTAATTCCTTTATCGTGTGAGATTTTAAAATCTCTGCAGCTATTTAGGATAAATCATATTACCGTATAAGCCAACAAGGCTATACAGGTATGATGATTAAAATTCTTTAAAACATATATACATACTTAAGCAAATTATTATTAACACTTAAAAATAAATAAATTAAATTGCTAAATTCTTCTATCGTGTGAGGTTTCGAAATCTCCGCAGATACCTATAATAATTGCATTACCGTATGAACTAATAAGGCTCTGCAAATATAGCAGTTAAAATTCTCAATCATAAAACATAAAAAAAAATAATTTTAAACCCTTTTCTTTCTTTATTCCAAAAATTCAAAATGGAGAAAATAATTAAAATTAAATTATCTTTTAGAATTTAAAACACACATATCAAAATTTCAGAAATTATTTTATTTACTAAATGGTGAATTATTTTTCATTAATTTCTCTTTAAAAAAATACTTTCACCAACAAACTTATAAGCCTGAACTACGTGGACTTTAATCCCATCATAGAGTACATAGGCCTCGGAGTCAGATTCTGAGTCAAGTCCGTCCTTCCTCGTAAATAAATAAATATTTCTCACTCAATTATCATCATTTTTATATCAAACATATGAATATAAAAGGAATAATTAAAATAATTTTAAAATCATATTAATAGAGCACAACAAACTTCAAGTAACCATTCTGACGAACGGGTGTTGTAGGGTGCCTAACACCTTCCCCACACTCAACCGACTTCCGAACCTATTCTCTGATTTCGTAGACCACCCTTATCCTCCATTAATCGGTTTCCCGAAAATTTTTTCAAAATCTTGGTGGCGACTCCTCGTTCATACGGTTCCCACCGCGAAGGCTAGGACATCCGCTTGCACGCCGTCCGCGTCGCATTTTTTTAGGTGCGACAATGAGCTTGATGGTGGAGATCCATTAATTGTCCCTTGCAGCTGCACCAAGTTAGCACAAATTCATTAAGGGAGTATTACAAAAGGACCTAACTCATGAGAAGATTAATGTTAAATCAAGGTTTTTTTTAAAATTTTAGTATTGAAACATGAGATAAAGAGTAATAAATATGAGAACTTTAATTGTGAGGAGATCCTAGCCTGATATTAATATTCTTATGAGGTTGTTATATATATCATTCTCCCTAATTATCAATGACATGAATACTGTACTTCAGTGATAAGTGAACCAAGTTGATTTTGAGAAAGAGCAATGCAATAGAATATGGATCAACTTTCCTCCTCCTTCCAAATAGAAGAACAATCCATTATGAATTCTAAATTTCTGCTGATTCTACCAAAGAAACCCAAGCCTACTCAAGAAAAGAACTTTTTTCCTTTTCACAAGATTGACCTCGTGCCAAGCCTTGGTTACAATGGCATGGGACTCATCATCAAGGGAACTGTTATAAAATACTGAGCCTGTGCAAACATGTGAAAACATTTTCTTCCACTTTACAGGTTTATTATTCGATTCACAACCATTATCACCAGAGATTTTAAGGATTTGGAGAAGATTTGAAAGATGCTGAAGATGAATAGCCAGGTGGTCACTGTTTCTGCCCTCCAAGAACAAACAAATGGCTATAACAAACCGATATCCAGAGTCAACCAGCAAATGGTGAATCAAGAAAGCAGAATGTCAGGTATAGAAAAGGAATGAAAAATAAGATTTGGATTTGGTACGCTGAAAGTCTGCTCACTCAATAAGCGTCCTTATGTCATGATAATGACAATTTGATTAAATCAAAAGGCTATCAGAGATCTTATTCTATGATACTCAGAAAATATCTTCTCTCCAATTTTTTTTGAAGGAATAACATACATGTGAAGTGCTTTGATAGTGAGCTTTACTTTAAACTTTTTGGAGAAAATTGTATTTTGATAATTTTCAAATGTTGATAAAATTCAACTGTTATAATAAGGAGGATGCTCACTGAATAAGTGAATTTAAGTTAATCACACTCCAATTCCAAATCTTGAAAAATAAATGCAAAGATGCTCGCGCCCCTAATTAAAAGTAACCATAATAAGTAATAGACGCCAGCACCACTCTGCGATGATAATAAAGATAAAATGGACATTGTACAAAAGTAAATAAATAAATAAAGCCCCATTTTCGATAATTACCCTCCCATCTATTTCAATTTGTAAATGGGTAGCATTTAATTTGTAAGTCTTTAATTAATATTTAACTATTACCTTGATATTTATCTTCTCATTGTTCTCCTCCATTATTCAAACCCACAAGCTTCTCTACTCCCATGGGCCATCAAACAGTAATTTGCTACTTACTCCTCTCAACTTTATACATGCGAAACATATTCAACTTTTGTTTGATATCCAAAGTTAGAGAGTCCTAAGAGTGGATAAAATATAACATCTTGAATATAAATATGCATATGAAAAAAGATTTTTCTAATTTAATTCAAGGAAAGGAGAGGTGTGATGATGTAAACACCTCTTCCTATACTATGCTTAGATGAAGAAAAAATATGAAGAGAAAATAGAAGCGAAAAAAGAATAATGAAACTTTCAATCCCTCTTTAACTTAGTTATAGATTTATTCTTTCAAAATTAATTTTTATCAATTGAATTCCTTATGTTTTCTTAAATTATTATGAGTACTCATCCTTTAAGTTTTAAATACAAATTGAATTTTAAAATAATCTAATTTGTAAAATATATTTTATAATCTAATTTGTAAAATATATTTGTAAAATAATCTAATTTGTAAAATATATTTGATAATTTAACATATATACGTAACTAAATGAAAACAAATTAACCTTTAAATGAGTTTAACATATTTTTATCAATATAATTCATTACGTTATGGTTTGTTTCTTTGTTTTCTTAATTTCAGAGTTTGTTTTTTCCTAACTAAATAATTAAATTCTTTCATTAATCTTCTTTGATATAATCAATATTATGTTTTCTATGTTAACAAATTTTAACAATATTACCTCCTTTTAAACAATACAAATCAAATCGATAATCGATGAAAGCTTAAAGGATTAAATTAATAAAAATTAAACTTGAGAGACTACATCGATAATTGAAATAATTTTTTTTAATCAAAAGTTAAAATTCATTCAAAACAAAGAAAAAGAACAGCACAAGAAGCATATTACAAAACCAAAGGAAGCAAACTCAATCATCATTCACCTCCTTATGTAAAACCAGGTGGTGAATGATTAAAGATGCAAAAAAAGTTATCCAAAAAATGAGTTTCCTTAGCAAAGGAATGAACATGACTAATAACATTCCTAAAAACAAAATTAATAGACATATCCCCATCTCTAAAAAAGATTACAAGTTTTTTCAATGATGTCGTGACAAGGGTGTTCTTTAAAGTAACTTTTAGTGAGGAGGTTAACCGCTTTAACGCTGTTTGAATAAACTTCCACATTCGTAAAACCTTTAAACCAGTAAAGTACAAGACCTTCATAACTTCCTAAGACCTTTCAGCAATGAATATTTTCAAGTTTACAATTAAATCCTACCAACCATCCTCCACTATCATCAGTAACACAATCACCACAAGTAGTAACATAATTAAGGCAAATTTGAGGAGCTAAAAGTTGCATTATCTTAAAGAAAAATAAATTTTCTCTTATTTGGATGAAAAAAAAAAGTGAGAAAAAATGGGGTGAGAAACCAACCACATTTTCTCCTCAACTTCATATACCCTCCTCTCTCCTCTTTTTTTTTTTTTGAGAGAAAAAAAGTAAAATATATTCAAACCAAAGAATTTTTCCTCTCTTCCTCTTGCTTGTTTTCTAACTGGGACACTGCAACAAATATTTTCATTTCGTTATCAACTCAACATTTACTTCTACTTGGTATTAAATTATATTTAATTTTAAAAAAGCTACATTCATTTTCATTCTTGTTGTATTCTTATTCACTACTATACAATAACCGTACAAGAGCGTTTATTTTTTATCTTTAAAAGTGTTTCAAAAGTGCTCTCACATATACAAGAGCACTTTTTAAAACGCTTTCATATACATAAAGAAAAAGTGTTCCAATTTGGGCAAAGAGCGCTCTAGTATACCCAAATTGGAACACTCTTATCTAGAGCCCTCCCGTATGTAAGCATATAAGAGTGCTCTATTAGAGAGGCAGCGCTTTCTTAAAGAGAGCTCCTGTATGCTCCTTTTATAGTAATACTCTATCTTTGAGCGTTTTTGTACGTATTTTTTATTTTCTCATAAATCAAAAATCAATCGAAAAACAATATTTTTGAACATAAAAATTTGTATACAATAAAAGAATTTGAAAGTAAAACAACTACATTAATTTCCTAACTTGTCTAATCGCTAACTTGTCTAACAAATGAAAATATTAGTATTTTTCTCATAGGAATAATCAACTCTTGTTGTGTGATTATCTCTCTCATAAACTTTATCACATAGTATATATCCACACTCACAACCTTGTATTTGTATAGGTACCTATAAAATAATAAAACATGTTATTATCTAGATATGATAAAAACAAATTTCAACTTAATTACTAACACTCTGAGGATGAAATTATATATATAATTCTGATTTGCTAGCAAAAATCTAGTAAAGTCTCCCTTATAAATTGAATGTTTCAAAATTTTTCAAAAATTCTACATCAATCTAAAACAACATATTCAAAATAACAAATTTAAAATATCAATCAATCATTTTGATGCACACCAACTTGTTTAATTAAGCAAATAATACAAACCTTTATTTTTTTCATATATAAAACTTAATAGGATCAAGCTTTTCAGTTTTTAGAGAGAGACCTTCACCAGCTTGATAACGTGATATGACCCTACAAGAATTAAGCACATCAATTGGACATTCTTACTCTAATTGTTATAATAAACATGTATAAAGAATATAGAATAAAAAACTTACTGATTAAATAATATCCTCATAGATCTGTAGTTCTTAAAGTTATTATCTCTTAATGAGTCAAGATAATAAATTGGATGGCAAAATGGATTGATACAAACAAGCATTCAATGTTGCCTGAAAAGATAAAATATTTCACTAACTCAAATGTCAACTAAATTTAAAAATAAGTAACAATAACAACTCACCATGAATTGTAAAGAGCTAAAAATAATATGTTTCTCTTACCTCTAGCCTTGATTGCATCGGTAATCTTTTGAGAATGATAATCAATACTGTAAATATTTGTGTTGTGAAGACTAATAAATAAAAATTTTGTCATCATTAAGCTCGACATCACAAAAGTACTATACAAAAACTGTCACGCCTCAAAAATTGAGGGTGACCGACATGAGGTGTGAATCACATCAACATTCCTTAAGCCTTAAATCAAGAGATTTTTCAATTACTAAAACATGATTATATTTATATTAATTTATAACACGCACAACCATTTTCATCTTAATAAAAGTTTCAATATTTTTATAGAAATTTCGACAGAACCTCTCTTGTGAATAGGTTTTTCCAAAAGCTCTACAACACAATATTTTACATAAAAGATCATTTTAATTAGGAGCTTAACTCCTTCCAACCAATAGACAAAATATGCAACAAAATAAAAAAAAACCTAACTATAAACTATGTGGAGCATCTAGATATAAATTTACAAAAATAAAATTTCATAACTCAAATTTTAAATAAAAAAAACTTCAACCTTAGGTCCTTCAATTCTGGTCAACAATAAATCCTCTCAATATTCATCAACAAGAGGTTCAACATCGACTACACTATATGGACCAAAATTATTTTCAATGAATAACGTCCCAATAACAAATAATTAAATATGAATAAAAAAAGTTAAAAATAATTATGTAAGTTAAAAAGACAATGATCTCAATAAAAATTCAAATAACTTTCGAATAAAAAATTCTATATAATTTTACATGAAATCTTGAACCATTAAGTTATCATATTAAATATTGTTATCACTTAATTTCAAGGAAGCAAATAAACAAAATAAGTAATTAAAACATATTATTAATTAAAATCAATGGGATATAAAATCATTAAATAATCAAATTCATATTTATAGGGACTTGTCAGAACAATTAATAGACATAGACACAGTCTACGAGAGTAACTAACCAAACGTGATTGAAACCACGAAACAGACATGGACACAAAATCTACGAGGATAAGTAACCAAACATGATCGAAACCATAAAACAAACGTAGACACACAATCCATGAGGGTAGGTAACCACACGTGGTTAAAGCCATAAAACAGACGTGAACACACAGCCCACAAGAGTAAATAACCAGACGTGGTCGAAGTCATGAAACAAACATAAATATGAGACCCACGAATATCAAATGTGAGAATAGAACTCACGAAAATCAAACTAACTAGTCATTGACCATGGCGCATCAAGGGTTAACGGAACTACCGTTAGCAATCAATGTTCTGTATACAATCCCTTCTTAAATCCACTTTCAGACATACGAGAAAATCATTACTTTTAAAAATATAATTTCTCTTCCAAATATCAAACTCGCATTAAACGTATAAAAACATCAATTTACCTGAATGTAAAAATTCATAACTAATATCTCATAAATTGTTCACCAATTTTCATAGTTGACTTTATCAATTAAAGGATTACTAAAATTTGTAAAAGTATTTTCATCAATCTGAAAAGTATAAATCATGACTACAAGAAACAAAGCAATTTAATTAACAAAAGTATCTAAAACAAGAGAAATACATAAATACCTGTAAATTATTAAAAACAATATTTTGATAAAGAAAATTTTCTAATATATAAATTGATTGGGATGCTATTCACTTACTTAAAATGTTCTCAAAATTCAAAGCTCACCTCTTATAATTTCAATCGAATTTCTTCTCTTCTAAACACTCTAAAAAATATATTAAGGTCTTCGTTGACACTGAATAAGTTCAAGAGTTTTCTCCCAACATTGTCACCCCCAACTACAATAGATTTGAAATTTTTGAACCAAGACTTTACACATAAAAATTGTTCAATAACCATTGCTAATTACTCCATTAAATTAAGCTTTTTATTAAGACACCAAGTGTACATTATTTCCAAACCACACAATAAAGCTTTTTAACATTCAACTAGCTACACATGTCTCCACCACGCTTCATTGTTAAATTCCTGTATAATATTCAAGTTAAGTACAAGAATCATTAACATTCAAATTAGATATACTTCTTATATGTGAGTTAGTTAAATCCCAAAATACATATTCAGACAAAATCTCCTCTAGCAAGCATTTTATCAAACTCTTCATAAGCATCAAGTCATAGGCTAATACCAATTTTCCCTCATCAATTCCAACTCCTAAAATTTACAATGAAGATATTTAAACAAACTCGAATACATATATATATATATGTATGCCTCAATAGAAAATTAATCTCAACCACAAATAAGCCCCAATTCTTGTCTATGCATTTCACATGGTTAAAGGAAAATAAAAGTCAACAACTTAGCTAAAACACACGCACAGGACAGCAAAAAGAAAGTTAACTTAAAGTTCTATACCTCATATTACCAACCAGAGACGGAGAAGGGAAGGAGAATTCGAAATTCATGCTGAACAGGGGAAAGGTGACTTTCAGTTATTGCAGCAATAGAGGAAGAAAATAAAGGGACCAACAGCAACCTCTTTCAGTACAACAGTTTTTCAGCTGAATCGCGTTGACAGCAGTAAAAAGAGGAAGAAGGTGTAGCTCAGCAACTGTGAAGGAGGAGGAGGAGAAAATCTGAAGCACTCCCACCAGCACGCCGACGATGATTAAAAAGAGAGGAAGTCGGACGGGAAGCAGAGTAGGGAGAGCTGAAATTCGAGGTCCACACGCACACGGACGACGTCGCAGCAAGGTAGGGGAAAAACAATCGACGACGCACCTAGGAGAACTCGCGACTCAAACTTTTAGGAGCCGCGAACGAAACTTTGGGCTCACCAGTACCGGCGACAGCTGAAAACCTAGAAGAAAGTACAGGGGAGAAGCTTCCCGATCTGTCTCTTATTGGCGGTGAAGAATTAGGGCGTTTGTGTCGGTGAAGGAAAGGAAGGAAATGGATTGGACGAGTGCTGCGTTTTCGCGATAAGTGATATAAATTCTGAACAAAAATAATAATTGGGAAAACTATAACAAATGGCACAAGTAAAAATACAAGAAAAGGCACAAATTTTTTCATGATTAAAAAAAAATAAAACTACATTTTTTTCTTAATAAAATTCAAATTCTGATCCTTAAAAATTTAAGAAAAACTCCTCTAAACAACTGTTTTCCATTTGCAATAAAATTAATTTAAATAAAATATTAATTGGGAGAAAATTTAATTTACATTACCATTAAAAAAATTGTATCATTACAAAAACCTAAAATGAAAAAATAGATGCAATAACAACTAATATTAAATAATACCGTAACAAATAATAAAATTTAAAAAGTACCTGATGTATAAACTAATTTATCTAATTTGTAACCAATGCTTGGTCAAAATCTCGTTAATATTTTCAACCGCTAATTTTTCACTAATCATTTCACTATAAATCTCATTTTCAAAGTCTATTTTAGAGATTTTATTTTTAAATGTTGTTCGCATAATTACTTCAAGTGCATTTTGATGAGGATATTTTAGCTAAGCGAAATTTGTGCCGGTCTTTCCTACTTTAGTTACAGAGGTAGATCCTTTAAAAGACTTTCCTTTCGATTTGATTGGCTTCTTTGCCATTTCTTTACATTTTAAGGACTACGAAATGTAAAATTAATTGGTAAGGTCAAAATTAAACATGAATGATTTTAAAGAACTATTAATTATCATACCTATAACTTAATGAGATTTGTAAGCCAAGCCAAGTAAGTGCCAACCGCGTCAAAAATTGTGAATATATCCTCCTCTGCTATTTGTATTGGCAACTCAATATAATTTTCAATTGGTATAGTTATGGTCACCTTTAAGTGATCTGTAGGTAATGGTTTGGTTTGTATAGTAACATTATTATTATTACACACAGATCCGAGTGATACAACATGACAATGTGGTGATTCTAACTATAATTGACATTGTGACTTGCCCTAAAAATCAATAAATTAATGTTTTAAGAAAATGTGAGATATAATAATTTGTGAATAAAGATGAAATAATAATATAAAAAGAAATTATAACCTTGGAAAAATCTTACTTAGTATGAAATAAGTAGCTATATTTATCATTAGGGCTGGTTTGTGGCACATTTACTACCCTAATTGTAACATCCTAATTTTTAGAAAAAAAAATTTATGAAATTTAAGTTTTTTTTAAATGATGATAATAATAGGAATTTATATTATTTGAGGTTATTTGAAAATAATAATATGGTTAGGCATTTAATTATGAATTAAAAACTTAAGTTTAAAATTATATAAGAAAAATTTTGTTAAGATATAATTTTAAGATTTTAAAAAAATTATTATTAATGTGTGTGTGTGAGTTAAAAAAAAAAAAAGAAAGGAAGTAAAAAAAAAAAGGAGGGGTTTAGTCCCACATCGGTTAGATGTGGGAATGAAAGGCACCTCCTCATGTATAAAAAGAGAGGTGCATTGTGGAGGAAGCATGAGGAATTTTTTATTGCAATTTGTGAGTGAAAATTGCAACTAAGGGCCCCAGATGCAATTTGTGAAAATTGCAAGTAATGGCCCAAAGGTTTGAATAATTAAATTCAAACCTATAGTTTTTTTAATATAATTTTGGGACCACAATCCTATTTTTATATTATTTTTCTCTCTTCCTCTCACGTTGCTCGGCGTTTTCTTGCAAGAGGGATTATTTTCTTTTTCTTCAGGTATGTTCTAACTTTCCTGTTTAGATTAGCATTTAAAAATTTATTTAATTATAAAATTATTTATAGTTATTTTCTAAATAATATTAGCTTTCTAGTGATATGATTATTTTGTAGGATAGAGTAAATATTCTGATTAAGATTTTTCTATATGATAGTTAATCTGATGATATGATGGATTAAAAATATAGGTTAAAACTCTTAGGGATATAATAAATATTATAGAATATTTTTTTGAGGTTGAAACTCATGTTTAAGAATTTTTGAGTTAAAATCTAGATCTATATGGTTGAATTTATGTGGAATCTGAGATGTAGGGATAAACCTATGATTATTAAATATTTATTTAAGCATGAATAGGTATTTTTGAGATTATAGAAAGGTGATTTGAGGCTTCAGGATAATTTTAAAATTTTTAATTTATTTTTGGACGAATTTTTAGAATATAAAAGGATGAAATTGTGATACGAGAAGTGATTTGAGGATAAAAAAATAGTTTATTAAGGTACGAGAATTTTAGAAAAAGAATTTGGGAAGTTAAATGAGGCATAAATCTTAAATTAGTGTTAATATGGATTATAGATCTAAGACTTTCTAACTCTTTAAATTAGAGTTATTTATTTTAATGTAAAATTAATATATAGTATTGTGAAATAATTATGTAGATTATATTGACAAAGATAGTAGTGAAAAAGGAGTTGTGAAGGGGAACTTGTTATTCAAGACACAAGGTAACCATTATTAATGTGTTGTGATGGGTGTGTTTGTGAATGATTATGTGTTGTTTTATTATTTAAAAAAATTATGAATTAATGAAAATAAATACTGTATATATATACTTGTTTGAAATTATTGCCAAGTGGGTCAAAAATTTATTTTTGTTTATCATGATGAGATATTATTGTTCGGATATATTCCTGTTTGGATATTTGAATGATGCATGACTTGTCAGGGTATTTTAATATATGGTGTTAATGGGAATTTCTGTTCGGTTAATTATTACCACATGGTAAGCCCTCATTGGACCCAATGAGTGGCGTGTCGCTTGGTCCAACTCACCTTTGGTCGGGTGATTTGGCATCCGAGGATGGCGAAAGGAGGATATAAGGTGTAGTCATGCAATTAAATACTTGTTCGGTTTGTTTGGAAATATTGTTCGGTTAAATGTTTTGTGTGCCCACTTAGCAATCGCATGATTAGTTACATCCGCATGCATCATTACATATTAATTTTTGGTTACTGGGACTTTTAAGTCTCATTCCCCGTGGTTAATATTTTTACAGGAGCGAGTCCGGCCGAGAAAGCACCAGAGGTGTAACTATGGTGTATGAGACACCATCTTTTACGTTGCCTCTTATTTTGGATTATACAATGTATCTTGTGCCAACTTAGGACATATCTTCTTTGTGGAGCATGTAAACTCTAATCTTTTTTATTAAAAGTATTTATATGACCATGAGGATTATGTCTGTCCCTCGTGGTTTTAATTGCCTTTTTGGATCTTTTAAGACTTGTGTTATGTCTTGGATGTATCATGGTAAGAAAATTTTTCTACCATGATAATGGTTTTAATAATTTGCGAAAAATTAGTTTGTATTTTTGAGGGTGTTACATATTGGTATCAGAGCATCATGTTTCGAGCCTATATTTTAGTAACACTTATTTAAATTTTTATTTGAAACTATTATTTGTGTGAATTTAATATGTATTTATTATGTGTGGTGCATTGCATATAGTCGGTTGGCAATATACATTGTTATGGTGCTTTTCATTGTATGGCCATTATATAGCTAGGCTAATTTTATTATTTATATCTTGTATCCTTTAGGAGGGGAGAGAAAATGCCTGTTACTCGCGGTAATTCAGGATTCCAACATGAGCACCTGCCACCGCCACTGCCAAATGAGGAGCCTGACTTGGCAGAATTGAGAATGCTTGTAAAAACATTAACTGACAAGGTTCAAGGATACGAACAAGAGTTGACGGAGCTAAAGAGGCAAAAGGTAACTGAAAGTGGAGATAGGGCTCATGTTGAGAGTCATGTGGGGGAAGGCAGTTCCTCACATCCTGCCACTCCGAGAGATCATGAGTCTAGAAGGGAGGAAATTAGGCAAGAGGAATAGAGAGCCCCACCGATCATTACTGATGTGTGGGAAACTGTTAGGAAGTTTAACCCTCCTACGTTTGATGGTAACCTTAAACCATCCGTGGTAGAGGAATGGGTAAAGAGACTTGAGTCCATCTTTCGAGTAGTCACATGCACCAGTAATTAGAAAGTACAAGTAGCATTAGTGCTCCTAGTGAAAGGAGCAAGAGATTGGTGGGAGACAGCAGGGCCCAGGGATGATTCTACACTCACCTGGGAGGAATTCAAGAAAAAATTATTCAGGCATTACTTTCCATCAGAGTTAAGGTCTGAGAAGGAAGCGGAGTTCCATGCCTTTAAGCAAGGGAACCTCGATGAGGACACATTCATTGCTAAGTTTCAGGAGTTATCTAGATACTCCACGTACCTGCAGTATAGGGATGATTTTGAATGGAAGACTAAGCGCTTATTGGAGAAGGCTAGACCAGAATTGAGGGAGCAATTGGCTCATCTAGATATCCGAGATTATGATAAAATGTGCATAAAACTACAAGTAATAGCTCGCAGTAAGAATAAGGTCGATAGAGAGAAGAGGGGTTATTCATATAGTAGACCCCCAACCTACCCTCAACCCACCGGAGGCATTATGAAGAAAAACCATTAGGGTTCGAGTAGCTCATGGAACCAAGGAAGGCAGAAGGGTCCATTTCAAAGGGGCCAAGGACAGAGGAGCTATCATAGTAGTTATCACAGGTCACAGAGGAGCCCAACAGTATCGACCCCTGCCCTGAGTACAGCGAGCTCTCAACAGTACACTAAATGCGGGCGTCGTCATTTCGGACAGTGCTGGGTCTGTTACATTTGTGGGAAACCCGGTCACATTGCAAAGTTTTGTGGGGACAACCAGGGCTCAAATATGAAGAACCCTTTCCAACATCCTACTGTCTTTGGCCGTGTGTTTGCTCTTACTCAGGACACCATAAACTCCCCAGATGCTATTAGAGGTAACATCAAAATCCTTCATCATGATATTGTTGCACTATTTGATTCGGGTGCTACACACTCTTTTATTTCTGAAACTTGTGTAAAGAACCTTGATTTACCTGTGTGTATTTTACCTTTTGATATGAATGTATCTACTCCTGCGGGAGAATCTGTGAGAACTGCTA